GTTGTCAAAAAAATGATATACCTAAATATTTACTTTTTTTTTCTTATTTTTAGTGCGTTTGTTATTTTCCACTACAATTATTGATACAAGTCGAGGAAAAAAGTAGATAAAAATATATTGAAAACAAAAATATTTTTTTATATACAATTTTTTTGCAACTTTTTTCAGTCAGTATATTAAGGAAATACTTTATAAATTGCACTAGAAACACAGACAATTTTTAAATTCAGTTTTTAAATGTATTTGCTAGACTTTACTGTTTTTATCAATGCACAGGAAAGTGAGTTTAATTGCTATTTATTTGTGAAATTTTTTTTTTAACAAGTTTTTATGTAAAATAAATGAAACAATGCTGCAAAATTTTGTGGGCTAGTGCATTGTTAATTTACTGAACTTTCTTAACAAACTTTTTAGGGGCCTATTTAAATCTTTTTTCTAAGTTTTTAAATACATTTTTTTAAACAGAGCAATCGTTATGTTCATTATCTCTAGTAACTTGTAATTGGAAATCGGACAACATAATAGAAACAACTTCATACATGCATCAAATGTGGTAACTGCATTTATTAAAGAAATTATGTTATTCTTTTATTTAACTTATTCTGTCATTAACAAAATTTATTAATCAAATAGTATTTTTTGGCAAATAAGTAACAATCTATTTTCTTATTTTCGTATTATATAAGTATTGAGAAAAAACTTCAAATATAGCAAAAACTTTTTAAAAAAGTGAAACAGCATAAAAACGAATAAATAAAATAAACAAATAAATGTAAGAAGAAAAAATTAACAAAATTTCTTATAGTTCTAGTGTACATAGCAAATTAGTTTCTTAATTATATGGACTGATAAAAATCTTTTTATTCTTTTAATTAAAAAACTTTCTAGTTTATTTAATTAAACTTTATTTAAACTTGATATTTCTTGATATTTAATTAAACTTGGTATTTTGTTTCCTTAATTTACGAATTTTTTTTTTATAAATAAGTAAATAAGTTTAGCTTTAATTTTAATAAATAAGTTTAGCTTCTTGTCGCGAATTTTTAAAAAGCTTTATAAGTTAAAAGACGCGATTGCCTTAGTCAGTGTGTCTAAAAAAATTACTTTTGACATGGATGTACATTTTCAATCTTGAAGGTAAAAAATTAAATAAATTTAATTCTCATTCCTGCCGGAATTCTGGATGAAATTTTATTAACAATTCTAGTAAATTCCGTCCGAAGTTCAAAATTTCCATTTCAGCACATCCCTTATATATATACACACACACACATATATGTGTATATAAGTATATATATATATATATATATATATATATATATATATATATATATATATATATATATATATATATATATATACATATATATATATATATATATATATATATATATATATATATATATATATATATATATATATATATATATATATATATAATATATATATATATATATATAAACCCACGAGAAAAAATTATGTTCACTCACTAAATTTACTAGCATTCCTTATAAAAATAAAAACTTCGTACAAAATATGTCTTCATACACTTTACAACACCATGAACTGGATTTATTGAATAATGGTCTTAACTTTGGTTTACCACCAGCGTTTTTAAAAAAAACGGACGTTTTTGCTCAATTTGGTAGCGTTGCACAATTTCTCAACACCCAACTTAGAAACAAGGATTCTGAACCTCAAGTTAAAAGTGAGCTTTCACATTTAGCAAATAATTATGTTTACAAATACACGCCGTCTGAAAGTTGTCTGAGAAAACACAAAATAATAAAAAGACTCAGGAAGAATGAAAACATCGTAATAACAAGACCAGACAAAGGGAATGGTATAATTGTTCTAAATAAAGTTGACTATATAAATTCTATTAATAATATTATAAGTGATAAAACTAAATTTAAAGAATTAAAAGATGATCCAACTATAAAAAGAGAAGTATCTTTACAAGGGTATCTTAGAAAACTTAAAAAAATTAGTAAAGATTCTTCTTTACCATCTTTTCGACCAATTATTTCAACAATTGGCACATATAATTATAAACTTGCTAAACATCTTTCAGATTTATTATCTCCATATTTACCAAAACATTATACCACTTTTGACTCATTTTCATTTGTTAAAGATTTAAAACAAGTTGACGTAACTAACAAATTTATAGCTTCTTATGATGTTGAAAGCTTATTTACTAACGTTCCACTTAATGAGACTATAAATATAGCAACAGAATTATTTTTTTAAAGATGAAACTCACTCAAAATATTTTTCTAAAACTCATTTCAAAACATTACTTCAATGAGCATCTTGCGAGTGACAAGCAATCGCATATTTTTAAACATTTAAATTCATCCATTAATTGTAAAACACTAACTAATTATGATTGCTTTCAGATTTTGGATACTGCCTCTACCATTACCAATTTAAAAAATAAAAGAAGCACTTCATATTAAATGGGAAAATCCTTCTTTAAATAAACAAACATCTCATTATATTATAAATTTATCTATCTAACTTACTATATTATTACTATTATTATTATTATTATTATTATTATTATTGCTATTATTATTATTATTATTATTATTATTATTATTATTATTGCTATTATTATTATTATTATTATTATTATTATTAATATTTTAATATTAGGAAGTTCATTTTGTCATAATTTGTAATATAATTTTTAATTGGTTTGTAACAAGTTTATTAGTTCGTTAATTTTTTCTCTGTATTGTCTTCATTTTTTAAATATATTTACCAGAGTTTTAATTGTAAATTAAATCTTTTGAAAATGTATTAAGACTACGAAACATGTCAAGAATAAAAATATTGTGATTTTTATTAAAATATATATATATATATATATATATATATATATATATATATATATATATATATATATATATATATATATATATATATATATATATATATATATATATATATATATAAAATATTTTTAGGGACTTTGGCACACCAAACAAAAGTTCAACAATCCTGAAAGACCTGAAGTGTGTTTTTCAAGGCTATAATAGTTTTTCATAAGTTTTTTATGCTTTTTAAGCTAGTAATTTTTGAGCTCCTACTTTCTAAACATATATAATAAAAATATGATTTGATTTTTGTATGATTTAATAATAGTTTGAATAGATTATTGTAAATTTTAATTCTTTTTTTTTGTTATATAGATACCATCACAGTTAACAAAAATATTAAAAGAGCCTCATTCTGATGTATGTTTTGATCATTATAAAATAAAGTTGTTTTATCTTTATATTTATATATATATATATATATATATATATTATATATATATATATATATATATATATATATATATATATATATATATATATATATATATATATATATATAATGTTATGTGAAATTTACACAAAATTATTTTAAATAATAAAACAGAGAATTGTTTTGTTATTTGGTCGTTTTTTACAGTCAAGGATATAATTAAGAAGCTACATGAAAAATATTAAGTTAAAGTGAAGGATTAGCGAGGTAGAGATTTGAAGTTGTTGAGATAAATAAATATTAGTTTAATGACATTTAAGACATTTGGTAAGAATTATTTATTATACTACTCTTCTAAAAGAAGCTGAAATAATTAATATAAATAAAAGTATTTAAAGGTCAAAATCATAATATTTTTTATAAATATTTATTAAATTAACATCTGGTGAGTCTTGTAAATCTGTTGAAATGAATCCAATAAGTTCATTAGCAGCTGTGATGTAAGAGTTCTGAAAACTCAAATGAATTAAAGTATATCAATCTGTATTCAATTGTATACTTAAGGAAGTTTTTTGAAACTTCTTCTTTTGATTGTATACTGAAAGAAGAGGTTTTTCTAATTAAAAATAATAAACTATTCTCTTACAATTTAATCTGCCTAATGTATCAAATTATGTAAACAAAAATTTTTTTTTTCAGTTTGTATGCTTATAAATTTAGCTAGCAGTAGTGATTAGATTTTTAATTTTTATCATGCACATTTTTTTTTATAAAATCCGTAACAATTTTGTCACAATTTTTTTTTTAATTTGTTGTCATTGTTTTTTTATTAAAACTTTATCATACCACTAGTTTATTGTTTTTCTCAATAGAAATTTTTATTGAATATTTTGTAAAAGTTCTTAAACACATTTAATATCATTTCAAATATATTTTATTCAGTGAATTTGTTTAATTTATTATATGTGATCAACCAAATAATCAATTTGTGGTTAAGGATATTTGTCCAGTGAGTATGCAACCATATAGTATTTAATGGGCTGGGTTGCATTGGGTTGTATTAATTTATTACTATAATTAAATTTGTAATCAAATCAATTATTCATTTTTAAGTGTATTTTATATATATATATATATATATATATATATATATATATATATATATATATATATATATATATATATATATATATATGTATATATATATATTTAGGTTGTTCTGTTAGAAGAGAATATCAAAGTAGTGAATTTTACAGAATTACCAGGTTATTTAATATTTTACAGAATTATTTTTGATTGACATTTTATTTTATCATGAATTCACTTGCATCAAGGCAGTCACTAATTATGTTTTATAATAAAAATTGATTTATCATTTTATTTACATTAGAAATGTTTTTTTAAAGTTGAAGTGTTTATAAGGTAGAGAATTGTATATTACATTGACAGTTTGTTCTTTGCAAAGACAACTGCTTCTCTGACAGATCCTTATAACTAGAATATATTTTTATTAACAGTGAATAAAACCACTTAAAGTATATAAGATTGGATAAAATTGATTATCAAGATATGAAACATATAATACAAACTTTAAGGCAATGTTTGGATGACCAAAATAATAGGCTGTTTTTATCCTTGATCTGAGTATTTAAAAAAAAAAAAAACTATCTGGTGCACCATGTGAATGAATATTATAAAGGAGAATGGCTCAGTTAAAAGTATTTCCCCTTATCACAATTTAAACTTACCTCACTTACCTTATTTTACACTTACCTTGCTTATCTTATTTTTGACCTACCTCAATTATATTATTTTACACTTACCTCACTTGTCTCATTTTACATTTACCTCAATTATCTTATTTTACACTTACCTCACTTACCTCATTTTACTTTTACCTCATTTACATTATTTTATACTTACCTCATTTATCTTTTTTTTTTTTTTGCAATTACCTTATCTCGTTTTACAATAATCTCACTTCAATATTTTGTAATGTGCATTATAATCTTTCCAATACTAACATATATGGTTAACACTGGTTTTGCAGTTAAAGTTAAATTTATAGCTAATATTGAAATTCATAACTAATTAAAATAAAAAATAGAATTTATAAAGTTATTGTATATTTAAAGTCGTATAAACTACAGTATCGATTTGAGTAGTTAAATTATGGTTGTGAATGTTAAATTCACCACTAGTAACTTTTTTCAAATTTTAAATTTTAATTTTTTTTCTCATGTTTTTTCCTTTTTTAATTTAGTTTTTATTTACTGTTTAAGATGGCGTAAGCAGTAAAGCATATTTAATGGATCAAGTTTCATTAAACTGGTTAGAGAAACAAGAATGTGTTTCTTTTAGAGTTATCATAAAACAGGTTTAGACTTGAGAGTTTGTAAACTAGTTTTTTATCAGCAATAATAATATTCGTTATTAACAGTTTTGATTTTTTTAAATTAGATTTTACTGCAATGCGTTGAATGTTTAGTAGACTCACGTTGGGAACTTAGAAGAATGGCATTGCAGGTAATTTACTATTTATTTTTTACATATATTTTTATATTTCCTTTTATATAATGACTGTGATAGTTCAAAATGTTTGTTTCAAAAGTGTTTAATTTTTCTGCTTGACACTTTTTTTGGCTACTAGTTACGTATGTCTAATTCTAAACAGCAAAGTTAAAATCTCAAAAAACTCATATGTATAAAATCATTTCTTTACTTTGTATTTTTTTTTATTTTAGTTGATTCCTGTAATAATCAAAGTGTTTCAACAAGTCTACAAAAGTTTTTTAATTGAACTTTTTAATGTTTCAATAGTAAATTCTCCTCTCTACTATGGCTCATGTTTGTGTCTTTTTCATTTGCTAAATATTTCTATTAAAGACAAAAAAAATAGCTTTGAATCTGGACTTACCAAGGTATTCATGAGTAAATGTTCTTTTTTTAAAGATCACAAATTTTTAATAGTAAATCATATATATCATGTATGTATACTTTATATTTTTGAATGTTGAATTTAGTTCCAACAATTTTTTTATTAAATAAAGAAATATAAAAGTAAAAAATAAAAACATAATTTTTATTTTGCTGTATTAAAAATCTGAATTATACCTGCCCAAACCCAACCTCAAGTTGATGTATTTACTTAATCCCCCTGAACTTCCTTGTATAGCATATGGCTACTTTATACCGTTATAGGGGAGTGTGGGCAAGAGCTAAAGCTCTCACTTCTGCCGAGGCCTATATATATATATATATATATATATATATATATATATATATATATATATATATATATATATATATATACACAGTATCAGACAAAACAAGTGCAACCAAATATTGCTAATTTAGTTTCTTTATAAAAAAATGCTGCATTTTTTCTGTTTAGAGAAATAACTATGTAACTGTTTAGAGATAACGTTTTTCAAGTGTTATTCATCACAAAGTTCATTGTTTGTACACGAAAATTAATAAATTAATCAAAAGTATTAAAAAAAGTTGATTTCCTTTTGGACAAAACAAGTGCAACTCCACAAAATCTTGACCAAGCTGTATTTCGCTATCAATATTTTGTGACAAATTCTTTGTTGTTGATCACAGCCTTGCATCTTCGAGGCATAGATTTGATCAGGTAATCAATGAAACTTTGTGGAATTACTGCCCAGGCCTTTTGGATTTGTTCAAACAGTTGATCCTTATTACGAAGACCTTCACGATTAATTCTGTGGTTGACAATCTCCCACAGGTTCTAAATAGGGTTGAGATCTAAAGATTGAGGCGGCCAATCCATCACCGATAGGTGATTGTCTTGAAATCACTGTTTGACTACTTTTGCAGTGTGTTTTGGATTGTTGTCTTGCTGAAAAACCTATTTTATTGGCATATTCCATTCAGCATGAGGTAACATAACATCTTTCAGGATATTTTTATACGTGAAATGATCTATTATTACATCGCTTCGATGTATTGGACCTAGACTGTTAGCAGAAAAATATCCTCAAATCATTACATTGCCTCCACCATGCTTCACGGTATGGCAGTAACATGCTTTGCGGTATGGCAGTAATGTAAATTGAGGCGTTTTCTGGCCGGTCAACGTACACAACAATTTCCATCTCTCCCAGTGATGTTAAACTTTGTTTCATCTCTGAACAGGACAGTTTGCCATTTCTGCACATTCCAGTCAATATGAAATGTAGCAAATAGGAGTCTTTTCTTCTGGTTCTTTAGTGAAATCAGCGGTTTCTTTGCAGGGTGTCGAGAAAACAATCCGACTTTAACAGCACGTCGTCTAATTGTTCGGTCTGATACAGGTAGCTCTAATTGCTTTTGCGTCTCGACTGATGATATTCAGGGATTCTTCTTGACGGATCTGACAATCATAGAATCCTGCCTAGAAGTGGTGGAACGCGGTCTTCCACCTTTGTTATCTACTGCCAACTTCCCCATAGAACGATATTTAGAACATAGTCTTGATACGGTCCATTTTTTCACGCCATATTTATCACAAATACTATTTTGTGACATTCCACTTACGTAATTGCCAATATTTTTCTTTCTTAGTTCCAATCCAAGACTGTCAGGAGCCATTTTTACACTTGAAGTTATAAAAATAATGAAAATAAATAATCACGCGTCTCAAGACTTACCGTGTTACATTTACCTTGTGATGATACAATAATTCTCTGTGGAACACAACGTCTGGATACTTCCTTTAATTATTAAAAAACTTCTATGACGTTGACACGGACCAGACTTAAGAAAATGAAACAAACCAAAAAAGTTGCACTTGTTTTGTCCGCTGCAAAATGGCACTAGTCAACAAACTTTTGCCTGTGTGCTGTCACCTGTCAGCTGATTGCTCATGTCATGGCATGCTATGACTCCAGACTTCTGAACTGTATGCTAGGGTAGTATAGTTTGTTTCGTTTTTTAAGACATGTAAAATTAGGAACACTTTTTAGTATTGTTCGATGTTGGTTGCAAATGTTTTGTCCAATAATGTATATATATATATATATATATATATATATATATATATATATATATATATAAATATATATATATATATATATATATATATATATTATATATATATATATATATACATATATATATATATATATATATATATATATATATATATACATATATATATATATATATATATATATATATATATATATATATATATATATATATATATATATATATATATATATATATATATATATATATATATATATATATATATATGCTAAACTCAAATTTTACAATCTTTTTTTTCTCAAAAAAATATTTGTAATAAGTTTGTAATTATGAATCTATAAAAAAAAAATTTTTTATGTGCAACCTGCTGAAATAATTCTTTAAGCAGTTTGCATATACCTTTATATTGTGAAATGTTAATAAGTGTTGTATGTAAAATGCGAAAATACCTGTAATTACCTGTAAATTTACCAGTAAATTTTGACATTTTTAAAATGGATCACAACCTGATATTTTATTTGAATAAAAAATTTGTTCATAATTTCAAAATTAACTGACAGTTCTTTGAGTTTTAAAAAATGTCAAGCTTGTGACATTTGTTTTGGAAATAAAATTGCAGCTCAACAGCAATTATGAATATGTTGCGAATCCTGTGGCAATTGGTTGTGTGGATCTTGCTGTTCTACTATGGTCAACGATATGTGCAAGAATTGTCAATAAACATATGAAGCTTATTTAAAGCAAAGTAGTGTTTTTTTGTTAATTGAAAAAACATTTTTTAAATTAATTGAAAAATATTTTTTAAACTTTATTAACCAGTGGCATAGCAAATGTGATAATGGCCGAAATAATAAAATAGTTGACTAATTACAATAAAAATCAAAAATACTACTACTTATATTTAAAAAGACCTTTTTTTATTTCTTCTTGTTTTCTTTGGTGCCACAAAAGAATTCTTTTTTTTGAGCCTGGGGCAATGCCCTCCTTAGTTACTGGTATTACCTGAATTTATATAATTTTAGAATGAAACAGCATTTAAAAATTAGTTTTCAGTACTTGTACTTGTGACATTAAGTTTGTGACACGTTACTAGTATTTATATAGTGGACGAACTTATGAGATGGTATTGAAAGTTCGGTCAAAGTAAATGTTTTCATTTTAAACAAAATATTGAGTACTAGTTTTTATTTTTCATTTTTTTATTTTTACAATATTGGTTATCAATATAATTTTTTGTATGTTTCAGGGAAAAAAATTGAAATTTTTTTATTTATGCATGATAAATAAATGTCTAAAGCTTAATTGACGGAACTTAGGCAATTTTATGGTACATATATATATATATATATATATATATATATATATATATATATATATATATATATATATATATATATATATATATATCATCTTTAATAGTATCAATAATAAGGGCAAGTCTGTAAAAGATAGACGACACTCTTATTCTTATTCTGTAACCTCAGGGGTTCCCCAGGTCTTATTCTGTAACCTCAGGGTTCAATCCTTGGCCCTATACTCTTTTTGATTTACATTAACGATCTTCCAGATATTCTCACATCTAAGGTGGTATTGTTTGCTGATGATACTACCATTTATTCTTGTCAGGATAAGAAGCCAACTCCCTCTGATTGCTTGCAGGGGGCATCTGAGCTCGAAAAGGATCTCACTTCTGCTACAGCATGGGGCTTGCAGTGGCTGGTGAACTTTAATTCAGATAAAACTCAATTTTTTTTCAGCCAATCGTTATCGCAATAATTTAGACCTTCCTATATTTATTAACGGTAATGTACTCCATGAGTCTCCTACCCTTCATCTTCTAGGATTAACTCTTACTTCTGATCTTTCTTGGAAACCTTATATCAAATCTGTTGCAAAATTAGCATCTGCTAAAGTTGCTTCTCTTTATCGAGCTCGTCACTTTCTTACTCTGGATTCTATTCTCTATCTCTATAAATCTCAAATCCGACCTTGTATGGAATACTGTTGCCATATCTGGGGCGGATCTTCTAATGATGCCCTTTCTCTTTTAGACAAGGTGCAAAAACGCATTCTAAACATAGTTGGACCTGCTCTTGCAGCCAACCTTCAACCTCTGTCACATCGTCGTAATGTTGCTTCTCTTTCTCTTTTCTACAAATACTATAATGGGCACTGCTCTAAAGAGCTAGCGTCTCTTGTGCCATCTACTAAAATTCATTCTCGTGTTACTCGTCATTCAATTAAGTCTCATACTTTTTCTGTTACTGTTCCTAAGTGCTCCAAAAACTCTTATTCGTCTAGTTTTTTTCCTCGAACATCAGTTCTTTGGAATTCGCTTCCTTCATCTTGCTTTCCTTATTCATATAATTTGCAATATTTTAAGTCGTCTGTCAATCGTTATCTTGCTCTACAATCTTCATCTTTTCTCTTCCAGTAACTTCCAACACTAATTAGTGGTTGCTTGCAACCTTGTTGGAAGCAAAGATAATTAAAAAAAAAAAAAAAATTTAGCAAGTTATTATAAATGTTATTGAAATATGTATTAAAACAATAGATTAGTTAAATACTTATAATAGAAATAAAAATCATTCTATTAACTAAATTTCAAGACATTACTAGTTATTTAGTATTTTTATTCTCCTCTCAAATGTCTATATTCCTTTATATTGGTATTTGATCTTTTATTTTTTAAAGCTTATGTTGTAAACTGCAAAAAAAAAAATACAAAGCCACAAGCAAAATACTATATATAAAAAATTATTAAACTTTATTTACAGTTTAGAAATGGAAAGTTGTCAGGCAAAAAAAAAATGCTACAGTTTACTAGATTTGTCCTTAAGTGCATACAACTTTAAAACTTAAAAAAATTAAGTTATGTGCAAGCAAGTTTGCAACATGTTTGCTCATTCAATGAGAGAACATGTTGAAAACTTGTATGCATTTCACAAGGACAAGATTTGTTGGTAAAAATGACACTCGTGCTCATATGTCTTTTGACAGGTTTTTAATATTTTGCACCAGCTACAAGTTTACAACATGTACCACCAACAGGGGTGACTATGAACAGCGGGTTGAAAATTAACATCAGTATCAAGTTACTAAAAGGTGAAAAAACACACACACAATAGAGCTATATAATGTGTTACTTTGATTCAGTTTGCAATTTGCATTGCAAAACTGAGCCGGTAAAACATCCATATATATCCAAACATAGGTATTTTAAGAAACAAAGTTTAGGCAAAAAATTTTTGCCTAAACTTTGTTTCTTAAAATATCTATGTTTGGATATATATGGATGTTTTACCGGCTCAGTTTTGCAATGCAAATTGCAAAAAATGATTTTTAAAATCCATTTTTGCAATGCAAATTGCAAAAAATGGATTTTTAAAATCCATTTTTTGCCAGTCCAGTTGATCAGGCCGATAACTTTTCCAGGAAGCTGGACAGTATAATGTTCTGATTAAAAAAAATGTAGTGATTAGGCTAGCAGTTTCCTTCTGTGATACAAAAATGTTTAAAAAGTGTTCATAGTCATCCTGATTGATAATAACTTATAAGGTTGCAACATCGTGTTGCAAACTTGTTGATTACATGTTGTAAACTTGTGCAAAATAGTTTTTGAAATGATATGTTGAACATGTTAGTAAAAAAAACTAGTTTGCAACATTTATTTTGTCTTACCAACTTTGAATAACTCAATTGTCATAATTTTTACACTGATTTTTTTTTAGTCAAAAATATTCTGAACATGTTTTTAATTTAGAGCAATTAATTAACATCATTTATAGTTGATAGAGTCCCTTTTTGCACTATAGGTAAAATGTGCTAGTAGACTAGTAGTAAAACATTTGCTCGCAACCAGAAGGTTGGGGTTCAAATTACCTCTGCTGAAATTACTGTCTCAATCTATTTCTCCACACAGCGCCTTTGTATAAAAATTTTAGTTGTTAATGTTGTTTGTTAGTAAAAATGGTAATGTTAAGGATTGAGACAAAATATTTTTAAAAAATGAGTTGCTCCCTTGACTGAAATGGTCATTGGAGCAATAGGGAGGTGAATTTATGAAATTAAAAAAAAAATTATTGTACTCATACAATTATAAAAATTTGGTATTTTGATCGATTTTAAAAAAAACCCTAAAAACCCATAAAACCCAAAAAAACTCATTTGGGTTGGGTTTTTTTAAAAAACCCTGGGTTTTTTCCAACCCTGAAAATTACCCTTCTTATAACACCCTCTTTAGACCATTCCTACACCTATTTGCAAACTAACCGTTCAAATATTTCACTTTAGTTTTTAGATGGTTATGAAGATTGTGACAGTTTAATGGACATGTGTGAAAAAGTGGCAGAGAATTTATCATTATGCTTCCATAAGGAAACATCAGATATATCTATATCTTTGCTTGTACTTTTTTCAAGCTGCTCTGATGAACCTGTAATTAGCTTTTTGAGTTTTCTTTTTTGTTAAAGAAAAAAATTTTGTATTAAAGTAAAATTTTAGTTTAACACTAGAAAACATAAAATTTTTGTGTTAAAATAAAACTTTTAAGAATATAATATAAAGAATTAATTACCTAGATATCTGGAGTTATCCATCAGGCTATAAGCAATCATTTTTACAAATGTTACAGAAATATTTCTAGTGAGAGGTTGCTTTTTTTTGTATTTTTCTTAATTTTTTAACTTTATTTTCTTATTTCTTAAATTCATAGATGTTATGAAATTATTTACTTACATTGAAATCAAATATTTTGTTTCTGAATGTAGTTTGTCAGAGGATGAAAAGTTTGAAGAAAAAAAGGTTAGTGCTCAGTTTAATAAAATTACTTTGTAAGCAAAAAGTGTGTGCTAGCTCAGTTCATCAATATTGAAATGTTTTAACATATATTTTTATATATACTAGTATATATTTTATATTCTTATGTGAGTTATTTTATACTTTTTCATGTTTTCTTTTCTTTGCATTTTTTTGAAAAAATCATTGACTCAAAACTTATTTTTTGAAACAAGTATTTTTGTTATGCAAAAGTTTGTTGAGACAAAAATATAGCTTTGTTATGGCACAATAGTCTTTGTTTTAAAACAATAGTCTTTGTTTTAAAACAATAGTCTTTGCTGTGATGCAACCTTTGATGTGGAACAATGATATTTGTTTATAGAATTTTTGTTGTGAAACATTTCATACAAAAAAGTTTACTTGTGTTATCTAAGTAAATATAATTATATACTTTTATAAAAATATTAATATATGTATTTGTATGCATGTATATATATATATATATATATATATATATATATATATATATATATATATATTTGTATGTGTAAAAAATAAATATAAATATAACTTTTTATGTTGTTGTTTAATTTTTTTCATTTTTAATTCTTAATATATAATTTTTTAAGAAACTTGTGGATACTTTGTGTTCTTGTCAAAGTTACTTGGTAGATTATTGTTCATGTGGAGACACTAATTATACGGTATATTTTGTTCTGTATGTTAACTTTTCTATTAAAATTAAAGAAGACATCTCCTTTGTATTGTGATTATTATATATAGAGTATAATTATGTTTTTTATTTTATTGACATAACCATTTATTATTACAACTTGGGGTTGATTTGGTGTTGATTGACTTGCAGTGATAACAATATATATTTGTTTTTAAAGTTTTAGCAGTTTTTTTATAAATTGAGTTTAGATACTACTGCTACCAGTGTTTTTTATGGCTTTATTGCATGTGAAAAATGATGCTTTAGATGTTTCTGCTATACTAATAAGGTATGTCATGCTCTTTCATACATTATATGATATCTTCATTTATAATCACCTCATTGATTTTTCAATTTTAAGTTTTAACGAAGTTTAAAAATTATCAAGTCTTAAGTGGCAATTATGGAGTCTTAAGCATATACAGGAGATAATTTGCAATTTTTATGCACATCAAAATAAATGATCAAAATAATTAGAAAAACTGCAATACAGCTCGTTATGGAACAAAATATGCACAAAATGCTCATGCCAGGGCTTGACAACACATATAATCCCATGCTATTTGATATTATTATAAAGACATAATGCTTCATATGAAAAATTCATGAAAATGATTATCTTGTACCTACATTTACAAAATTTCTCAGGGGGCAAACCCCCAACCCCCTAATTCAGGAGGGGGTACCTGCTCCCAAATCCACCCCTCTAAGCATTACCCACCACCACTGAACCCTGAACCCGCCCCTGATCCTAAGAACTATAGAGTCTTAAGGATTATGGAGCTCTAAAAATGTTTTAGAATTTCAAAAGTGCATTATTAAAAAATGTATAAGTATGTAGAATTTCAATTTCCATAAATGGATTCCTGAGTGCTGAGATAAGTTGTGTTCATGTTAAACAAAATGTTTAAAAAAAAAGTTTAGGCTAAATTTTTTTGATTACAACTAAATAATTAATGCCTGTCAATGAAACTAAAATTGTTGTTTTGGTCGAAGTTTGCCTTCTCCATTTTTTCTTGGTTCTCAGTCTTTATAATATGCGCAGCAATCTGCAGACCTGATCATTTATTTCATGCCCGTTTAGTTCATAACAGTTTTAGTATATGATTTTGTGTAATTTGATGTAGTATTTTTTTGATGTAGTATTTTTTATTACTGATTTAGTATTTTTTCAGCCACAAGCAGCAAATCGTGTTTATTTGTATATTTTTTTACTAAATTATGATATAATTATAAATAAAATAAAATATTTAGTTTTGAGATTTCAGTAGCACAATTTGTTTTTAACAAGTATAAATCTTTATCTAGATTTTAATATTATAAGGTTAGCATACTTCCGCATCTTAACCAAATATATATTTTTTGTCCATGCAAGAATGTATTGTATCAAATTTATTTTGTAAAATTTGTATTTTTTATATTATTGTATTATCTGCTTCAAGTTTTCGAACTGACTAAGTTGTAACGATTATGGGTAAATATAGAAAAAAGCTTATTAATGTACAATCTCTACGTTGAAAGAACTTTTTTGTTTTGCTAACTATTTCATTATTATTTGCCTCTATTTAATCTTTTAATATTTATTATTTATTTATTATACATTTGATCTATCCTTATATATTATTACTTGCTTCTATCCCTATTTAAGTCAGTCAGAGAATGTACACTTGACTGCAACTACATAAATAAACAAAAATTAACAAAAGTACAATGTAATGTAACTATAAATAAATATTAGTTAAAAAACATAAAGCTTTTTTTGAATAAAACATATAAGATTAAATAAAATAGTTCCCAGCAGATGTTCTAATTCTCTAATTTTGTGGCAAGCCTTAAAATGAGAGAATTAAAAACCCGCTGCACTATACTAACATATTGATTAAATGTATAAATTAATTTATTTAAACATATTTCATACAATCAACAAATAACGCTTATATTAAAAAATCAAAACAGATACATAAATTTACATATTTTTATAAAATATCTTTTATAAAATCTTTTTCTTTATCTTTTATAAAAGATATATTAGTTAAAAAATAATCCTGGCAAATAACAAACCAAACATGTTGTTTTATTTTTAATTGTATTACAAATATTTTTTGAAATTTAGTGAAAAGTTATACAAATAAACACTATTGTCATGCTGATTGTGTCAAAAATAATAAAAGATATCTAATGTAAAAGGTTTATTATAAAGACTGAGAACCAAGAAAAAATAGAGAAATCAATTTAAAAGCAACAATTTTAGTTTTATTGATAGGCATTATTTATTTAGTTTTAACCTAAAAAATTTAGCCCAAACATTTTTTTTAAACATTTTCTTTGATATGAAAACAACTTATCTTGACACTTGGAGATCCTGCTAACTTTTTGTATAATCAAAATTGTCTTTATAATTTCTTAATTACAATGATTTGGATTGTTATAATTTCTTCATAGCTGTGAAAAGATATTAAAGAACATTGATTCAAATACATGGTATTTTTTAGTTTTTTATTCATTTTTTTTTTGTTTTTTTTTTGTTGTTGTTGTTTTTTTTTTTTGTTTGTTTTTTTTTTGTTTTGTATTTGCATTTATATTTTGTTAAAAAAATGTTTTTTTTAACTAAAAGATTTATTAATGTAAAAATTTATATATTAGTAATAATCTCTTATTTTGGTTTCTCTCCTCTTTACCAAAAGACTAAAAAGCACTTTTACTACATTAAGAGCTAACAATATTTAAATAACTATATCATTAGTAATGGAATTTTTTCAGGCAAAACTTTTCAGTAATTGGATAATGATTGCCTTTTTCTAATTTGTCAATATTATGCATAATTTTATACATTTGTAACTCCCTTTTGTCTCCTTTCTACTATTTTTTATTTAATGTTTTAGTTCTTATTTTGTAGGAAAGAGATAAACTGTAGCTCAGGCTTGTTGATTTTTTGCACAGAGTTTTTCCATTTACAATAATAGTTCATGTATCTGAAATTTTCTCTTTTTTTTTGTTAATAATTTTTCAAGTTTAGTTTGATCCATAAAACAATTGTAGTTGTTTTTTATTTAATTGAGAATCTACTACATTTATTTACTTTAGAGCCTACTATATTTATTTATTTGAGAACCTACTACTATTATTTATTTGAGAACTTACTAGATTTATTTATTTGAGAACCTACTACATTTATTTATTTGAGACATTTAAAATGTGAATTATAGCTTATATTTTCGGAATCGAAAAAGATAGAATTAACAGTACTTAATTTTGTAATTAAATCAGAAATTTTATTTGAGTCAGCTTTTTTGTAACTAAATTTTAGCATTTTTGAGGTAGATTACTAACTTTTTTTTAATGATGAAATCAAAAAAGATGACCCAAGGACCTTCATTTATGTTACTAAGAATGAATCTTGGATCAATAGTACAGATGCTTCACGGCTGAGTTGATTAGATCAAGAGTATTACAGAAGTATTTGGCAATTAGAGGTTACAGAATTATTTGACAATTAGAGGTTACAGGTTACAGAATTATTTTACAAGTGGTTTCAGAATTATTTGACAGTTAAAATGTTGGCACAAATACAGATATGTGTTGATAAAAGTTGCAATAAGTGATGTTTGATACTATTTTCAATTTTACTTATTGTGATGTATCCTTTTAATAAAATAGTTTATGGGAAATATTAGTAAGTCTTTGCATCCCTTTTTATTTTCTTTGATTTTATTGAGAACAAAACCAAAATCATTCATGTCAAAATCATTTGGT